CACTCCCAATGTGACCAGGGAAGAGCTGCCTCCTCAAGACAGTCAACCCTAAATGGCCCGGAGGAAGGCAGGCTGTCAGGACCTTCATGTTCTGGTCAGACAGGATTCATTGAGGAGAAAACATCCATTCATCATTGGATTGTGGAATGTACAAAGTATGAACCAAGGAAAATTGGAAGTCAAAGATGAAATGGGAAAATAACAAGACCAGTAGACAACATCATGATAGAGAAGAGCTTGCAGTGGTCAAGAATTTCATTTTTCTTGTTCTACAACTCTCATGGAAGCAGCCCTCAGAAAAATCAAATGGCATACTGCATTAGGCAAATATGCAAAAGACCTCTGAGAAGTATTAAAGATCAAAGATGTCGTTTTGAGGACAAAGATGTGCTTGACCCAAGCCATGGTATTTTCAGTCACTTCATAGACATGTAAAGCCAGATAATGAGTAGAGAGGGCTGAGACAGAATCGATGCGTTTGAATTATGGTCTGGTGAAGAATACTGAAAGCTGCCTTGGACTGCCAGAAGAACAAACAAATCTGTGGTCAGAAGAAGTACAGCCAGAATGCTCCTTAGAAGAGAGGAAGGTGAGACTTATATACGTTGGAGATGTATGTTACCAAGGGGAGCCAGTCCCATCGTGCTTGGTAGAGTAGAGGGTTAGCAAAAAGATGATGACCCTCAATGAGATGGATTCATGCAGCGGCTGCAACAATAAGCTCAAATGTAATTGTGGGGATGGCCCAGGACCAGGCAGTGTTTGGTCTGTTGTATGGAGGGTTGCTGTTGGTCCACTCAGCGGGACCTAACAACAACACGTGGGTGATGAGAAGTTCTGGTGGAGCTATGGGATAAATAGTGGGCTACTAAGGGGAAGGTCAGTGGTTCAAACCCGCCAACTGCCCAGTGGAGAAAGATGAGGCTATCTGCTCCAATAAAGATTTGCAGTCTTGGAAATGGTATGGAAGAGTTCTGTTCTGCCCTGTAGGTTCCCTGAGAATTGGAGTTGACTCCATGGCAGTGGATTTGGTTTGGGGTTGTTAGGCGGGTGATATAAAGCCTTTCCATGAATTCATTACCTCTTTTCCCCAATTCCTAGCATTTGTGTAGCATATTAGCTGTGAGAGATGAATTAGAAACATATACTTCAGCATCTTTCAGTTGGCTTTTCTGTCTCCCTCGTGCATTAATCCATTGTTTTATTGACATGAATGGGGAAAAGAGCTGTCCAGACGTTGCCACATCTGATCATGTTATTGGTACCGTATTTTCTGTATTCACGGGGACATTTTAAAATTACTTTCTTTTACCTAAACACTGGCATTTCTGAAACTAGAGTGCACATCTTATTCAGGTGTGTTCTGATTCCCTAAGTAGGCTTGTTCTGGGCAATTTTTAACACACATTTTCTCCCTTTGGTCAGGGCCGCAAGCTCCTTATTATTGGGACCACTAGCCGCAAAGATGTCCTTCAGGAGATGGAGATGCTGACCGCGTTCAGCACCACCATCCACGTGCCCAACATTGCCACGGGGGAGCAGCTGCTGGAGGCCCTGGAGGTGAGGAGCCCAGGGACAGGGACAGGTGCCGACGAGGGTCCTGCACCTGTTGGCTGGTTTCTAGATGAACCCAGAACAGGGCACCTAGAACATTGCCCCCGATCATCTCCAAAAATGGGAGGAAGAAGCAATTAAGAGAAATGACAGTACCTTAATTTCCCAACCCTGGGTGTAGATGTGTAAAACCTGCCAGAGGTGACTTACTCTGACACCTGACATGAGTCGGGGTGGGGTAGGGGGGTGCTGTGAGGGAATCATCGTGTAGAGCTCTTTAAAGTGACTTTCAGCACATTTCCTTCATTTAATAAATCCAGAACTGTCATTGAAACCTTAGAAACGTCAGGAAATCTATATATTTTTTGGAAATCTATATATATTAAAAGCTTTATTAACAATTTTACAATATAGAAATGTTTTCTGAACATTTTTTGAGGGTGTCAAAATTTGAATTTTTCAAGGCTATCTCCTACACTAAACTTTTGATTAATACCAGGGCACGCAAATGAATTGTTGAGACCCACTGGAAATAGTATCTGGGAGCTAGTTGTTGAGCAGAACAGAACCGTAGGACTGATAGCTACTCCCAACTCAATGGAAATTATCTGTGTGACATGTCGCCAGGCTATCTATTTGAACAGCTTTTATACAGGGGTTGGGTAAGAGAATTAAATGTAGTCTACTTTGAGACATACACATTCTGAGAAAGGAATGCTAAAGATATTTATTCCGGTATTCATTTTCATATTCATGTGTGTACCTTCTGAGGGTAGAAAGGTCAAGTTGGATTTTAAAATCTGAGAAAACCCTGTCAGCTTAAACCAGCCAGATAGTTTCCATCTCTGATCTTTTAAGCCCATGAGTGGGAATTACGGTAACTAATGTTGATCCTCTTGCTGTAACCGTGCTTTCATTCATATCAGTTGTTTTTGTTGTGTTGTAGCTTTTGGGCAACTTCAAGGACAAGGAGCGCACTACAATCGCACAGCAAGTCAAAGGAAAGAAGGTGTGGATAGGAATCAAGAAGTTACTGATGTTGATCGAGATGTCCCTACAGGTAAGACGCTTCTTCCTTCTGCATGGCGTTCACACCCAGAAAGGAGCTTCACAGACCCCAGAGGGCCGCGTGACTTCCTTGTGCTATGGTTTTGATTACGTTCTAATTCCCCTGTGTGGCAAAGTTCCTTAAAGAGAGTCTCTCTCCTTCAGAGTCACTAGATCAAAATCTTTGAAGAGACTTCCGAGAACACTCGATCAGCTGCCCGCCCCCACCTCTAATTTTAGAGCTGAGTGGAGCAAATGTCCCCCCGTTTGGCACCTTCCATTCCTCTTCTCAGAACCCCACTCTTCCTGTGCCCATCTGTCTGCTCGTGCTTTCCTGACGCCCATGCCCGTTAGGAACTGTATCCCGGCAGCACTCGCTTTCCTAAGGTGAGGACTTGGCTTTCCCTCACTGAAAACGCAGCCCGGGGCAGAATCAGGGGGTGGGAGGGTGCTGAGGAGACATCTGGGGGCTGAATGAACTGGCTGTGTGCGAGTGCTGGTCTTGCTGCGCTGCGCTGCCCTGTCGAGCGGTCAGTGGGAGCAGTAGGTGCTGGAATGAAGTCTGAATTTCACAGAGGCCTCTGAAGTGAATGCCTTTCATCTTTTTTGATCAGTGTAGGTGAAATATAATTTGAGGGGCTTTCAGAAGCCTGAAGTTCACTGGGGCTCACACTCCTAGGTGTAGACACGTCAGGTTGAGCTGTGAAATAGAGAGCCCCCAGTCAGGCCCTGCCCTGGGTATTGTCCAGGGAAGTGTGAGGACGGACAGACATGGCTGATCGCAAAGGCACCTTCGAGTTTCTCTATTGTTTTTGTAGCTTTCGGGACGTTTTTAACCAATTTATTTATCTAGCCGTCTGCACAGTAAATTAAAGTTACAGACGAATGGCTTCGCTCAGGATTATTCTCGGGAAAGGTGCACTTACAGGTGGATTGGCACTTTCCTTGGAAGAAGATAAATCTGTCAGATAGTCAGCTCTACTCTTC